GTTTAAGCTGTTGATCTCTTCTTGGTTTAGTTTTGGTGGTTCCCATGCTTTGAGATACCTGTCCATTTCTTTTAGGTTTTCAAGTTTAATAGCATCAAGGTTTTTAAAGTATTTCCCTATAATATTCTGGATCTTTCTGGTGTCTGTTGTGATGTTTCCCCTTTCATCTCTGATTTTGTTGATTTGGAAATTTGGGGAAATTTTCTGCTACAATCCTGTTGAAGATCTAGTCCATGCCATTATCCAGAGACTTTTCTCCTTCCTGTATGCCTGTGATTCATAAGTTTGGTCTTTTTATTGTGTCACACAATTCCTGCATATTCCATTCTTGTGCTTTCTTAATTTTTTCACTTGTTGCTTTTCACCTGTCTTGAATTGCAATGTTTAGTCATTTATTTGTGTTCTTTCCAATTTTTTGATGTAGGCACTTACAGCTATAAAATTCCCTCTAAGGACAGCTTTCAGCGTGTCCCAGAGGTTTTGTTGTGTTGTATTGTCCTTTTATTTTAGTTCCAGGAATACTTTTCTTTCTTAATTTCTCTTTTAACCCATCCATTATTCAGGAGTGTGTTGTCTAATCTCCATGTGTTCATGTGGTGACTAAGGCTTCTTACGGTGTTGATTGTAAGCTTTATTGCATTGTGGTCTGATAGAATGCATGGAATTATTTCAGTCTTTTTGTATTTGTTGAGGTTTGTTTTGTTCCCCAGTATAAGGTTGATTTTGGAGAAGGTTCCATGGGGTGCTGAATAGAAAGTATATTCGGTAGATGTCTGTTAGGCCCATTTGATATATGGTATCGTTTAATTCAGATGTCTCTCTGTTAATTCTCTGTCCTGTTGACCTATCTAATAGTGACAATGGGGTATTGGAGTCCCCTACTATTAATGAGTTGGGATTAATCTGGTTCTTAAAGTCCTGTAGTACTGTTTATATGAAATTGGGTGCACCAGAGTTTGGTGAATATATGTTCATGATTGTAATAGCTTCTTGGTTTATTGTTCCTTTTATCAGAATGAAGTTGCCCAGCCCTCTTTATCTCTTCTGATTAGTTTTCATTTAAAGTCTGTTTTATTAGATATTAGAATTGCAATGCCTGCCTTTTTCTTAGTACCATTTGCTTGGTATATTTTCTTACATCTTTTAACCTTAAGGTAGAGCCTGTCCTTGAAAGTGAGATGAGTTTCTTGCAGACAACAAAAAGATGGGTTTTATTTCTTAATCCATTCAACTACTCTGTGTCTTTTGACTGGGGAGTTCAGTCCATTGATATTTAAAGTTATTAATGAAAGATGTATATTGAATCCTGTCATTTTTATTTCTGTTCACATTCTTGATATAGCTTTGCATTTTCACAATTATACCTTCATTGAATGTCTTTCCGTAACCCTTTGGGTGTAGTGATTCCTTTCTTCAGCTCTTTGTGTTGCTTCAAGAACTCTCTGAAGGGCTGGTTTTGTGGACATGAATTCCTTCAGCCAATTTATGTCATGGAGGATTTTTCTTTCCCCTTCAACTATAATAGCCATTTTGGCTGGATAATATAATATGGGTTGGCATCCATGGTCATTTAGAACTGGGAATACTTTTGTCCAGGCTCTTCTGGCTTTTATAGTTTGTACTGAAAACTCAGCTGTAATTCTGATTGGGTTTCCTTTATATGTGACTTGTTTTTCTTTTGCAGCTTTCAGTATTGTTCTGTACGTTTAGTGTTTTGGATGTTCCGTGGAGAGTTTCTTTTCTAGTCCTGTCTATTTGGTGTTCTATATGCTTCTTGTATTTGTATGGGCATGTCTTTCTTTAATTTGGGGAAATTTTCTTCTATAATCCTATTGAAGATCTGGTCCATACCATTACCTTGAGAGTCTCCTTCATCTATGACTATGATTCGTAAGTTTGGGTTATTTTTTTAATGGTGTCACACAATTCTTGCATATTCCATTCCTGTGTTTTCTTAAATTTTTCATAATCTTTGCTTGAGTGGCCTAATTAG